GACAAAGGGCAAAACTGTCCCAGAACTGATCGACGCAGAATGGAAATGGGACCTCGCCTTTTTAACAGATGTGACAGAAATGTTGAACGGCCTCAACTTGCAGCTCCAAGGCAAGGGGAAACTAATATGTGACATGTATTCCAACATAAAAGCATTTGAGGTGAAACTAGCACTGCTTGTGGCACAAGTGCAAAAGCAAGACTTCACTCATCTCCCCGTTACCCAAAGTAGAGCCCGACCGATATATCGTTTTGCCGATTTGGAATGCAAATGATTTATATATCCCATTAAAACTGCTGAGATACAAGGAGCGTGAACTGAAATTCTCAGTTCCACCTGGTTCCACGCGCATGTCCGGGAAACTCATGAATATTCATGTATTCTCAAATTCTCAAATGATAATTAATCATTATTTATAAGCAAAATATTGTTTTATTTGTGAACGTAATCGTTTGATGAAGGCTTTAAGACCAAGCGGAATCCTCTGCCGGCTGCTCCTGCTTCACAGCGAGCAGGACTTGCGCTTACGTCCGTGATTTGATTTTGGCAAATCAGTTTGGGCGAATGCAATTTATTGATCATGAGCCCAACATTTAGCAAGGCAGGAAAACATTTAATCTAACTGAGGGGAGACGTCTTTCATTATTGTAAGTAAAGGCTGTTAAATAGAGAAGAAAATATATTTTAAAAATTTAACTTCTAGCGCATTCTTAAACTTGGACCTTATTTTATTGAAGTAGAAATCCAAGCACCAGAAGCAGCCCACACTCAGCCCACAAGTTTTCTTTAATTGAAAAATATGCATTTTCATTCATTCATAGGCTATATGGTTGCAATAATAGCCATTTTAGTTAAAACAATTTAAGTACATAGACGTTTCATAAACGTTCAGTTGTTATGCTTTCAAATTTCTTCCCATTTGTATGTATGTAATTTCACAGTATTTTCACCTCCTAAATTACTACACTACTTGTGCAGTCACGATTTTATAATTGTACAATTTACTCAGGCCGATTACTTTTTTTTTTTTGTATGACATAAAAATTATTTTTAGAATATAGGTTAAGCAAAACAAATGTGATTATTTCTGAGAACTTTTGAACTGCAGGCAGACATTATGGTACAGTAGGCCTACAAATATTTTGTTGGAGATATGCGAGCAAAAAATAATAGATTAAAAAATTTATAATAGAAAAATAATCATTAAAAAAAACAAAGCTGTAGAAAAATATAATGAATTACAAGTCTGTAGAGAACAGTGCGCTATTGCAGACTTATATCCTACTGAAGTTTTAATTACATTCTTGTAATAGCTATAGTCAGTCGTGAACTAAAGTGGGCCGCTCT